GAATCTTCAACGGACTCGGACTTGTTTCGGGACGAGAAAGGTCAGCCGTCTGCCGCGGGCACGGAGGAGGGGGCCCGCGGCTATGCCGCGGGCCCCCCTCCAGCCCCCTTGCCACCTGAACCTGCGCCACCTGCGCCGGCCAAGGAACCCGATGAGGGATCGACCCCCTAGTATGGGCGGTCGGCCGCCGAAAAGGCACTGAGTTTAGTGATCCTGGATGCATTCGACGAGGACCACCCTCCGCCTCCGGGTGCCGGAGATCGAGGCCAGATGTCGCTCGTGGCGTTGGAGACCGACGACGGCAAGATGGCGGGCGGCGACGGAGACGACCAGGGCGGTGATAAGGATCACCAAGCAGAGGAGAGCATTGTAGAGAAGCCCAGGCTAATGCCCCTCGATGTTCTCTCAAACAACCACCCCGACGCCTTCGCGTGGAAGTGCTCATGCCCCGGAGGGGCCCCGACGCCGCCCGAGAAGCAGGAGTTCAGGAGAAGGCGAGAGCTGGAGCATGCGGAGAAGGACGTTCGGCGCCCCGCTCATTGAGGATGACCTCTCCGCAGGGTTGCTGGTCGCCAGTGTCGAGTTGGCCCGGGAGCTGGAGGAGCGCCGCGACTTCGGCCCCGAGTCTTTCGCAGATGGGCAGAGGCGGGGCGTCGATTTCGATAGAATAACGTTGAAATGGTCCCGTGATCTGGTGGGTGATGCGCAACTGGAGTTTTTGCGTCGCCTGTCCTCTGGGGACGGGGTGAACGCGCGTCGGTTTCTGCGCGCCCGCTGCAACACGGTTGAGCCCCACTGTCCCCCGAAACCCGAGATTGACCTCATGAACCTTGCCGGCGGTTTGCGTACGTTCGCGTGGCATTCGGAAATGGATGCGGAAGAAGCGGCCGCATCGGCTTGCTCATCGTTCACTTGGCGATGCATAGCGCAGCCCACTTTCGCAGTTCCGGATGATCGGTTGAGGCGACCGACATCGTCAAGACGCTGGGCGACGAGGGCTACGACAGGGTGTGGGTACGCTTTATGCGTGCTCGTGCCTAGTTGCCGCACCACGCATTTCAGATACTTGGCGCGCGCATAACGGAAGCTGAAGTGGGCCCCACGGCTGAGCCAGATGATTGGGACGACAGCTTCGGGCGCGATTTACCTATTGACAACTATCTTGTCGGGGGTGCGCCCGTGGTGAAGCCTACGAGGGCGCCTCTGCTGTTCCGCGCTTGCAAGGGTCACTCCGTCCGAGTTGGCGCCCCCAAGCGCACGCGCATCTGATGCGACGCGGCAGCGAGGCGCTTCCGCCAGGCAATCGTCATTTCATTGGATGGTGTCTCGGCGCGCAGGTCTATGACCGGGCGCGCTGTGGCACCACAAGAGGACCTCGAGGGCGTGCGCCAGTACCGTTTCCTGACCTGCCTGCCGACTAAGTTTGGTCCGCCTACCTCTGATGGCGACAATGTCAAAGAAGAGGAGCCGGGTTCGCGTGGGGCGATTCAGCCAGCACGGAGAGTTCGGGAAGGTAAATTCGGTGAAATGCACGGAAAGCTGCCGACGTGGCTTAGACTTGGAGGTTGGGCGGCGCGCGTAGTGGCCATCCAAGTATTGGATTCGCGCTTCTGATCTGGAGGACCCACATCCTCTCTCGGAGCCCCACGCGCTCTTTTCTCGAGCCCCACATCTTCGAGAGCCAGGACATTTGGATTCAACGCGATGGCACCTTGGCGACTACGTCCTGGCCATCAGATCCTTCGTCTTGCCGTGTCAGGGGTTCCGCGGGCCCAGATATCGTGGGCCCTGGTTTATAACCGACGGCGCCGCGGGCTCAGAGTTTGAACTGACTCCAACACGGCGCGCATGGATTGCATCAAAGCCACATCAGGAAATCGTTCAAGAGCCTGGCGTTGATTAGGATGATGATCTTGCTCCCATTGAGAAGAAGAGCGCGCTCTGCGCGCCGCGGGACTGGGGGGGCGATTACCTCCTGCGCAGCAGCGATTGCATCAATCGGTTGGGCATATCGAGCTGTCTCACATGCAGAGCGCCTGTTCACTGCGGCGCCATCGTCGCAGACCCCGACACGACTTGGCCTCGCATCAATCTCCGAGACGTCGGCCTGGCCAAGCAGGAGGGCCACGGGGGCTACGCCCCCGGCCTTGCGGCGCAGAGCACGGGGGGGGGATTGAAGGGCAGCGACGCAGACCGGGCGCAGGTACGTTCACAGCGCAGATGGAAAGACACCGGTGAAGGCGGCATCGCCGCCCGCCGAGAGAATGGCCTGCAGGGCGAGACCGCGCTCCACGGCAACATCGCGACGGCCTCCGCTCGGCAACCAACGCCCTTGGACGATGCGCTGCCGGAGCAACAGAACCCCTACAAGCAGTTGAAGGCCAAGAAGATGGACCAAAAGGTGGATTAAATTTCAAAACTCACATCTCAATGCGCCCGCTACTGGCCGTGGCCCTGTTGTTCCTCCAAGGACATGGCGGCCGCGCACCCGCGGGGGGGGCTTGGCAGAGGACGGCTATGCCATTCTCGATCCGTTCGACTGGGACTACGCTTCCCCAGTGGACCGCCATCGCGAAGAGCCCAGCATGGGTTGGTCTGCAGGGTGCGCCGATTCCCCGCGGAGTGCCGAAGTCCAGCCGCTCGTTGACTTGCAAGTTGCCGTGGAACGGCACATAGAAGATTACTGGCCACGAGTTGACTTCCTGGTGGCTTCAGGGCCGACCGCGCGATCACTAGATAACTAAGGGCTCAGGCACCGCCCGACTACGTCGGCGTGGGCGCTTCCCCCAGAGCGGTGTCTACCAAAGGAGAAAAGAGACCCAATTCGGCGCGGCCTGAGGGCCGCCCTGCGGTAGCAAGAACGTCGGGCGACGCCGAGGGCAATGGCAAGGGCAAGATGGCCGAGAGCGACGGCAAGGGAGCGACGGGGCAGAGGAGTCGCGCGCAAGATGATCGACAGGAATCTAGACGCCGCCGAGCTGGCAACCCGACGCAGCGGGACCTGCACTCGCGCTCGGGCGCCGCCTCATCGAGCTTTGCCAGGGCACCGGGGCCGCTGGCCGCGAGAGATTCACGGCTGAACTCGGGCGACACCCTGCCATGGCGCGAAACAGCCGACACGTCACGGCATCGCATGGACCTTGCCCCGCAGCGGCGCGAGAACGTGGACGACGCGCGGCCGAATGCGGATTCCCGTCCCCCGTGGCGAGAGGACACCGACAATTGGCGGTTGGAGCTGGGGCTCAGGCAACTGGCAATATTACAGCAGCCGGGGCCGCGGCGACCACAGTTGGGGTTGAGCGGGAGAGAACAGGGGGCGCCCGCAGCGTAGTTGCGGGCGACCCCCTTGACGCATCCGCGCTATGCGTCGAGCGTCTCGGAGCACTGCGAGCGGGGAAGCGCGCGGGCTGCCTGCCGGGCGCGGCGCAAGGGGCCGCTGCATATAAACGCAAATCGGGGCGTTGACAAATCGCGAACGCCCACCCGCGCGGGTGGGGCTCGCCAGGGGGGCCGCGGGGGGGCGTCCATTTAGTCGCGCCCCTGCGCTGCCTCAGCATCGCCGGCCCGCCGCCGCCAGACATCGATGATTTGCCGAAGATGTTTCGGCTTCGGTCGCGAGGAAAGGGTCGCCCCGCCCGCCGCGCGCCCGCAGGCCAGGCCTTCTTTGCTTATCGCCACCCTGGCCGTAGCTCAACGGCACAACATCTTAGGCAATGGCGGCAAGAAGTACATCCCCAATAAGTCGCTCGGATCTGAGCATGAAACTACTACAGGAAGGATATCGCAATGAAGAACACGAACACGCTTTGCCGTTTGATCGGGTTGCGAAAGTTCCCCTCCTGACGGGAACGAGCAAAACATTATACCATTGGGCCATCTTGGGGCCAGTGGAGGCTTCCTGGTTTTTTTTGAGATGGCGGAAGCCCGACAAGGCGAATACGCCAACCATTCAACAATCAAATTGGAAGTCGGTGTGTTTTTGTCTTCCTGGCACTGTTGAAGTTCCTCGCGGGGCCCTTTTTGCCTTGTTGGAGGCATCTCGAGCCGCCCTGGGGCCATGCGCGTCCGCCTTGGAACCATCTTTGCCCGCCATCGAGGCATATTGGGCAAATTTACTGTCCTTGGTGACCTGCTTGGGCAGTCGTGGAAGCTCGGGCCGCGGGCGCGCACTTTCTTTCTTATGGAGCTTGGCCGCGGGAGCGCGGATCCGTTGTTTTTTGTGTAAGGGTGGATGCACGCGGCCGGATGCAAGTAGAACGGGGAGGGGTTTGATTATAATACAATCTTTGCCGGACATCATCTGGCATTCGACCGCGCCTCAACGTGTCAGGGGGCACGATGGCGGGTTTTTGTAGGCGAGAGTTGTGCGTATCGAAAATGTCGGATATTATTTTGCCGCGCCGATCGTGCAATAGCAGTCGTTTTTTTGTGCTTCCCATCAGTAATTGTATTCTTATGTTTCTGCTATGCTTCTCCGCCCCGAGTCCAGTTCGGGAATCGGTTGGCACCGGGGGGGCCTAGAAGTGGGGGTCGAGTTTCCCTGCCGATCCTCTCTGTTCTCCCAATCAACTTTCCTTAGAGCCCTCGTCCTCCCCATCGTCCTCCTCCCATTCCCCCTCCCCCGTCCTCCGCATGCTGTTTCGCAATCGCCCGCGGCCTTGAGATTGTGTTGAGCGTAGCCTTCCTTCCAGGTCCTCGTACTACCCTGAGAGCGCGAAATCCAGGACATACTGATTCATTGCTGAACGTAAGCGCATAAACCGAGCGCGCGGTTCCAGGTATTGTTCTTGGTCAGTATGGGTATGTCCACGGCGCGGTAGCCTTGAACAGGCATGCGGGATCATAGCAGGCAGCGCAGCCATCGGATTGTTCGGCAGCAACTCTTTGATTGGATGATGAGCCATGTTTCGTTGTTGCTTGCGAGATCGTTTTTTGTTGAAGTGTTGTGAATCACCGTTTTGCCCCAACATTGGCATTCATATTCGAATGGGCGCGCTGAGGCGGCGGCGGCCACACATCGCGTGCAATTGCCCGGTCCTCCTTCTTTTAAATTGTTGGACGCATCATCTGCAGCATTCCCGTATCAATGGATTGACGAGTGGGGTGGAGTATATTTCCGGTGTGTTGCGGGTTCACAACAGTAATCCGATTGTTCTCGGCATGCAGTTGTCATCACCATCTTCTTCAGAAGGCGATGCATTTCGAATGCTTCGCCATCTAATTCAGCGAGCAGTGCCTCGCTCGTTGTTTGCGAGGTCTAACGTACATTGGCGTTGTCTTGTTTGGTCTCGCGCAGTCCGATATGGAAACAACGGCCGTTGTACAGGGTCTGCCGATCTGTATTGTTTGTCCTGATACATAAAAGCGTTGGCCACACTTATTTGGGGAAGTCTGGGTGCGCAAAGTCGGCAATCCAAGGAAGGGTGGTTAAGCATTCAGGTTGCCGCTCAGTACCTTCATTATATTTAATCGCTTCGCTCATTCCGCCGGCCCTGGAGCCCTCTTTAAGGCCTCTTGGGGACCTCTTGGGAGTCTCTTGGGGCTCCTTGGCGGCGTCTTGGGGGCCCCCAGGGCCTCTTGGGGGACTCTTGTGGGCCTCTTGGGGCGGGAGGGGGGGTAGTCGATTGCGGCCCCCCCCTCGGAGGCCACGATCCTCGTGAGGGGTGTCGAAGAATTGCCCGGTTCGGGGTCTCCTCCCGGGCTTTGCCCGGGGTCGTTTTCGCCCAGGGACCCCCAGGGGCCCCGTTCTCGTTTTGAATCGCGCACTGTGGTCTCCACCCCTCCCCCTCCTTCCTCCTCCTCCCCCTGGGGGGCTGCGAAGTGTGCCACCGTCGCCACTTTCGTGCGCTCCTGGGAGGTTCAGCGGAGTGGAGAACAACCGCGGATCCAGCCGAGACATCTCCGTTATTCCGAGGGGGGGGTGCACACATTGCTTGAACATGTCGCCATTTTCGTGGGTTCTTGGGAGGTCCAGCGAAGTGGAGCTATACGCAGATTCAGCCGAGACCTCGCGTTTCCCTGGAGGGGTGGGCGAAGTGCGCCATGGTCGACATGTTCGTGGGTTCATGTGAGGTCCCGCGGAATGGCATTACACGTAGATCCAGCCGAGATTCCGCGGCTCCCTGGGGGGCTGCGAAGGTCGCCATCGTCGCCGTTTTCGTGGGCTCCTGGGAGGTCTCGCGGAGTGGAGTTGTACGCAGATCCAGCCGAGACCTCTCAGTTGTTTGGGATGGGTGCAAACTGATCGAACTCGTCGCCATTTTCGTGCGTTCCTGGGAGGTCCCGTGTCACCACCCACCAAACCACCCCAACCCAACCCGAAGGCTCAGATTTACCCTCGATTTCCAGTGGGGGGGGGGTCGGGAAACGTCGAAAAAACACATGTGGAACCCTTACCCCCCCCAACCCGAAATTCGGGTCTTCGGGTTGGGTTGGGGTGGTCTGGGAGGTAGTCACCGTGGGGTGGAGTTGCACGCAGATCCAGCCGAGGTGCCACGGCTCATCGAGGAGTTGCGCTTTTGCGAGAGCGTCGCGTGTTGCGAGAGGGTTCTTGGGAGGTCCGGCAGAGGGGCGTCGCGCACAGCGTGGCGCTGTCCTGCGTCCATGCCGCAGGATATCCTCTCGACGGTGATGCTCACCGCCCACCAAACCACCCCAACCCAACCCGAAGGCCCCAATTTGCCCTCCATTTCCAGTTGGGGGGGGTCGGGAAACAGCGAAAAAAGACATGTGGAGCCCATACCCCCCCCAACCCGAAATTCGGGTCTTCGGGTTGGGTTGGGGTGGTCTGGTAGGTAGTCAGTCCTGCGTCCATGCCGCAGGATATCCTCTCGACGGTGATGCACGTGCACGCCTGTTGCGCGCAGCGCGGGGCGTTGTTCTGTGAGAGGGCGCACGGCGCTGCGCTGCATTGCCAGTGCAGCGCGCGCCGATGGCACTCCCGCGAGTCATTTGTCCAGGTGTCCTTCCTGTGTGTTTCTGGACGCGTGATCTTGCTTATTTCGTCGGCGCGTGGTCGTTTCCTGCCAATGATTTAAGTAGCAGAAGTGATGCCGCAGCTGGGGGGACACTTGGCTGTAGCCCGTCAAAATATTCGGCGAAGCGTTCAAGGGCACGGTACGTCCTTCAACGATTGCGTTTGTTTGGATCGCCCCATACAAGTAGTCAGACACTTCACGTGCGCAAAGCGTGTGGTACGTCCCCGAGTAAGTAACCTCGTTTGGCGCTCTTAATGGGCCTCGGGTTCTTTACCGTCCGTGTCATCATCCTCTTAATGTACCGCGGGCTCAGATTCCTCTTCCTCCGCCTTCCGTTCCTCGTGTGTCATCGTTGATGTGTCCCTCACGCACGCCACGTATGAGTCTGCACTCGACGAGCAGCCAAATTGCGGGCGCATGGGCGGATCCGTCCTTGATCTGGCATGTTCTTGCCTTTCCCCCACATTAATATGGTGGGCTCTGGAAGGTTGTGGTCTGATATGGCACGTGATAGAACAGGCGTTGCGGTGCGTGGATACATCCACCCGCCCACCGTATCATGAAGTGGTATTCCTTAATATGATGGCCTTGCTGTTAGAAAGTACGGTCATTCATAAACCGCCTCAGCCAGTCGCATCACATAGCTCGTCCTCCATGCCAGAGGCAGTGAAAGAAGTGAGCGGTGGAGGTGTGTTGAGGATCGCTCCTTGTTCGTCGAACCCAGTGAGAAGGCAGTGAAGCTTCATGAGCCCGCGCGAGCATCTCGATCAAGTCAATGAGCTCGCTCGTGCAAATCGATAATTCCGTTGGCGAGCATTGGCGCGCGCAAGAATGACCGCGTCCATGCTTTGTTGAAAGCCCAATGGTTGTTCATAGGTTGTTGAAAAAGCTCGATTGAAATGTTCGGCCAACATCCATTGGCACCAGAGGTTCGCAACATATATATCAAATAATGCCTGGTGCATAACATCATGTTAAAGGCATCGTGCGGGGGCAAGGTACGGTTGCGCATCGAATGATATCTTATGTTGGAGCTTTCCTGGCCTTTCGTGGGGCCTTCTTGCATCCAGAGAAATCAAGGGAATACACGCAGGAAGTCCCAGAAGGCGCGCCACGGCCAAACGAAGTCCGCAATTTGGAAGCCTGGCCAGTAAATATTCTGTCCCCAGGATCCCAGTCGGGGGGTTCAAGGGATTTAGGGAAATTCCTTTTCGTCCTTCGCGGCACGCTGGCAAAGTTAGGTATGATACACGCTGGATCAAGACAAAACACGGACGACAATGATAAATGTTCGGGCCGGATCGTGGCCGACCCAGCTTGTGTCTACAGTAGTTATGATTCTTGACGTTTCGCGTATCCCCACCAGCACACCTCGCATTCTTTGCGAATCATTTCTGCAGGTGCGTTGCCTGTTGTAGCTAATTAGCCTCGCCTGCTGGCCCAGACGACGCCTTCCGCTCCCTGTCCGCTGCTTCGGAGCCGCCGACCAAAAAAGTATCCCCACCAGCGAGCGATCGACCTCTGCGTGTTTATGGTCGCGCCGCCGCGCCATTTTGGCTGCGCTTACTTGCTGGTCGCCACCGGGATTTCCAACGCCACCGGGTTTGGGAGTATCGGTTCCGGCTCGCCTTCTGAGTGGTTGCCCTCTCGCTCGCTTCGCTTGCCTTTCTTTTCCTGCTGCCCAGTCGCGGCCCGACTAGTGTTCGGACGGTTTTCGACCCGCCTCGCGAGCTTGTTGACCCAAAAAGTATCCCCACCAGCCCATTCAGAAACAGTTTGCCAGGCGAGTTGAAGCGTTGGTGTGCGAGGTTCTCGGGCCCTCTTGGGGCTCTCTTGGGTTTTTTTTTTTTTTGCCATTTTGGGGCACTCTTTGGGCCCTTTGGGTAGGTCCCAGAGGTCTCGTGGAGCCGTCTTGGTCCCCGTAGCTCAAGAGAGGGGGTCCTCAATTCAGCCCCCCCCCCCCCCCCTTCGGAAGCTCAAACATTGCCTCGCGGGGCCTTTTTGGGGCACTCTTCGGGTGCTCTTGGGGGCCCCCCGGGGGCCCCATTGGGCCCCTCTTGGGGCTCCCTTGGGCCGTCTAGGGGCCATCTCCCGGCGGTCCATCAGAAACGACACAGCGAAAACGCAAACATCACGGATTTTCCTAAGGTTGTGGAGTTGTGGAACCATGTTGGCTTGTTTGGGGGGGTGGGTCTTTCGAGGGTTCGGAGAGCACTTGAAACCATGTCTGGGCCGTATTGGGGCGTCTTCGATGTATGTGGGAAGCTATACTGAGCCATGTTCAGTTATCTTGAGCCATTATGGAGGCCATCTTGGCCTTGTGAGGCCCTCTTGGATCAATCTTGGGTCATCTTGGGCGCTCTAGTGCCTCGCGCCCCCCCCCCGCCCAGACCCAGGTGAGGGGGTAGGGGGGGAGGGGCGGAACCCCTCTCCCCCGAGCATGGGAAGGAGGGGTTGTGGAAAGAGAGAAGACACAACTCGGTAAACCACCTACGCCCAGGGGGCTGGTGGGATGACCCGGAGACGTATCCAACATTTTACACGCACGAAGCGAGTATACATAAGAGCGTTCAAGTCACAAGTTAGTGTTGAAGGACGCACCGTACCATTGAGCACCTCGCCAGAGAACGACGGGCCACAGTCAAATGGTTCCCAATCGCCACGGCTGTCCTGCTACCCAAACCATTCGCAAGAAGCGACCACGAGCAGACCACGAGCAGACGAAAGAAGCAGAACGACGCGTGTAGAAAAAGCAGAGTATGGAGTTCGCAGTGCGGGGCAGCGCCATGCGCGCTATTACATAACAGCTCCTTGCGGTGAGCGCAGCAAATGTGCGATTTGTATTTCCATCGCTGGGAAGCTGAAGAGAGGGTACGGCATGGACGCAGGAGAGCGCCATGCGGTGCGCGGCGGCCGATCGCGCCGCGATTTGCAATCTAGCAGCGCCGCGCGCTATGTGGCGAGACAACGCCGCGCGCTAGTATGAGAGCTCTTGCTTTCCCGTAGATGACGGATCGCCGCAAGTTGCATGCGTCGCCTCTTGCGCCTTTCAAGCAGCATCAAATCGACAGAA